TTTAAAAAATATTTCTTTATTTTGAGAGAGAGTGCGCGAGCATGAGCAGGAGGAGAGGCAGTGGGAGGGGGAGACAGAGAAATCGTAAGCAGGTTCCACGCCCAGCTCTGAGCCCGAGGTGGCGGGGCCAGATCTCCCGAACTGTGAGATCATGCCCTGAGCCGAAAGTAAGAGGGGTTCCTTAATCGACTGAGCCACTCAGGTGCCCCCCCTTATGACTTTCTTAATAACATTTTTTTTCCATCATCTACTTTATTATAAGAATACGACATAGAATACCCATAAACAGGGGCGCCCGGGGGCTCAGCTAGTTAAGTGTTGGACTCTCGATTTCGCCTCAGGTCATGATGCCATAGTTCCTGGGATGGAGCCCCCATTTCAGGTTCCAAGCTGGGAGAGGAGCCTGCTTGGGATTCTCTCTCTCTTCCCTTCCCTTTGCCCTCCCCCGCTTACCACGTGTTCACCTAAGAATACTAATAATACGTGTAACATAAAAAATGTGTGTTAATCAACTGTTTACGTGATCAGTTAAGGGTTCTGGTCAACAGTAAGCTACTAGCAGTTAAGTTTTGGGGGAGTCAAAACTTATACCTGGGTATTCAACTGTGTGGGGGGTTGGCACCCCTGATCACCATGTTGTTTAAAGGGTCAACTGTAGCAAAACCTCTGCCTGCCCTCAAACGTGTCTAGATTCTTAAGTGTGGGGCCCCTCAGGTACAGCGTCATGTGGCTTGATGAGCTGGGGCTGGGGTAATCATGAGGCTGAGGAGAGGGTCAGGAGTATCCTCCCCATATGTGTACTTCCGACACACGGTGCCTTCACTTCATGAGCCTTTCTAGAATCCCATGGGGCACACCAGATGCTTCACACCTGAGCCCCTCTATACCCTTCTCTGCCCCACTGTCAGCCACTGCTCATCATTTACCTTCCATCTTCCAAAAGGTTGACAACATCTCTCATCTATCGCCATTTCCTCTTACAGTCTTTCTGTTCTTTTGAATTATGACTTTACAAAGTAAAGTTTTTGTAAAGCTACAGTGAGAATAAGTAACGGTGTTCAACCCCTCGTGTTAAACAAAGTTGTGTGTCAATCTCAACTACTCTGGGGTCATCAGAGCAGCCTTCATCACATTCCCAGTTCTGATACCTCAAGACTGAATAGGTGTAACCAAGAAAGAAGCTGAAATATAAATAAAATATCTCCGAATAATAAATGTTGTACACAGTTAAAAGACAGTTTTGATCAATCTGAATTTTGACTGAATAAAAATGCTTTACTTTCTCAATGTTGTCAATCCAAACACATTACTTATCCTACAACCAAGTATTGATCAACTATATATATATATAGGTATACATATGTGTGTGTGTGTGTGTGTGTGTAGCTTGACTACATATATTGCTTCAAAAAATTTTCTTCGAAAAAAAGACTTCATCCTTTTCTATGCTGATTCAAATAGGTTAAAAGCTTCAGAAAGATTAGTTTATACATAGCATTAAGCAATGGTTCATACCCAATATTTCCACTATTTAGAGAGTTAACTCTCTAAATCACAGAGAATTATGAGTGATTCTGTGAGTTAAATGTGGAAGGCTTTTATTTGACCCTTAAGACAAAACAAAACTGTCTCTTATCTTCCAGAACCCTGCAAGAAAGGATCATTATCTCTACTTTGCAGATAGGAAAGCCAAAGATGGGTCATGTGCAAAAGGTCGTACAGGCAGCAAAAAGCAGAGAAGAAATTCAAGCTTAGGTCTTCAAGAACTTTTCACAATCACCAAAACAAACTGCATTTCTGTTAATAATCTTGAATTAAAGCCATAGTAATCATCCTTTCAGGATTAAAAAAAAAGACTTTAAATCACAAGGCACTGTCACTAGACATTTAGATACAAATTACTTCGGCATTAGTAAATATTTTATAAAGATGCTATTAAGTATTAACAAATATCTGTATATATAATCTTTTTTAGACAAAGTCTTGGAAACTCAAAGTTAAACTTCTCATCTTTGAGATTTCTCACCAAAACACTTAGGTTTAAGACTGTTAAGACATTTTACATTAACTTAATGCTGTCCTTGAGAAATAGAAAGTAAACTTTCTAAGTTTCAAAAATTCGGCCTGTCAGAGTATTAAATATTTACCATTATTTTCCCTGTAGATTTCAAGCCACTGATTATAAATTCGAGTCCTCAACAGGCACGCTATTTTTTCTTATGTATTTCAGAGTAACAGGCACTTACCAATGAATCTGTTTATCACACCTAAGTTCATTAAAAAGATGTCATTTTTGTTTAGAAGTCTTTCAAATGTTAGTCAAGAAGGTTCCAGATTAAGGAAAGCTTTACTACAGGACAACACACAAAGGAAAGACTGGCTTGGGCCCAAGCTGGTAACCGACGGAAGTCAGGACTTGGGTCCTTTCACCCTATTCCTACTACATACTACACAATTCAACCTCTAGAAAGACAAATACTCTGTCGTTTAAATTACGTGACATGTACGCATTCAGGGCACTTTGGCTTTCACTTAAATTACAGGCAATGTCACTCTGCAAAGCACTAAAGTTAATTTTCATTTTATAACATGTTATAATGCATTAATCAAAATACACTTGAGTCACTTGGTGAAAGTGAAGAAAAGATATAAAATATCATAGTTCCAAAGCGTACTACTTTTTTCTATCTAATCACAACTGATGAAAACCTGAAATTTAACTTTACATATTAAAGTATCACATAGCACGTTTCAAATAATCAAACTTAACGCATATGGATTAAAAAACCCACAATACTCATATAACTTTTGTGTTCAACTAGCTGAGAGACATAACTGGCATAAAAATATGGACTACCCATCTATTCACAGTTGTACAAGTACTCATACAAGCCAGCCAGTGCCGGCCGCCTGACTTGGCACTCGTCACATGCCGGGCGTTACTGTAAGCACCATACCAACGGACTCCTTAAAACAACCCCGTACTGTCCAATTATTTCCCCCATTTTACACATGGGGAAGCCATGTAACTCCTAGGATCACATGACCTGCACCCAAGCTGACCATCTTCCTGCATCAAAATTCAAAGCCTTCCTACTATGCTCTTTGAAACTTATGTTATAAATAAACTTAATTTATACAATTAACATCTTCATAACAGAATATTTCCCTACTTTTCCATATAAAACTGCAGATGCGCTGAACCATGTCTAACTCTGCTCTGTTGTTCTTGAGGGCAAGTTCTTCCTCTCTCCTGTCCCCCGTGCTTCGGTCTGAAACCCCCTGGGTCCCAGTGCTCACCCACTCATTCAAAAGTCCCTTCTCTGACAAGGAGGCCATATTTAATGCTACCACCTTCACTCTGGTAATCTAAGTTGGCAAATGCAATTTACAGAACGCACCTCCAGAAAAGTTCATACACTTACAAACGTCTGCAAACAATTTATCCACGGCCCCCTTGGAGCTCCTTTTGAAGCTCATCCATTTAGAGCCTGCACACAACCCAAGCCCATCCCCACCTGGTTGTCTCTCAAAAGGACTCTCCCTGAACTGCCCGTATCAGAATCATCTGGAATGCTTGTTCACAGCAAAGCTGCTGGAATGCCCTTTGGCACTGGGATGGTCCAATGATGGAGTCAGGAGTCTCCATTTTAAACACTACACACATGATTCTTCCGGCTCAATAACACTTAAGTCCCATCCCTAGGAGTACAAGATCCTGACTGAAAATCTCCGAATACTCAGTTTTCATCTCTGCGCCACTGCTTGGCATTATTCTAGAGAACCATGAGAGCAGTGCGACAATCTACGATATCTACGTATTATGCATATGACGCACTCCGGTGACCAGCACCTGCTGCGTGTCAACAACCCACTCCTCCTATATCGCCACAGCCTAGATCCAGAAGTACTCCATTTATCAATAATCTTAAAATCATAGGGTGCTCTGCCCAACCTACCTTTCCTCCTCGCCCTCCACGTCTGCTCTTTGACCTAAGCCCAGCTCCAACCCCATGACCTCTGCCTCCCTGTGCCTATCGCAACCCCCCCCACAAAGCCCCCTCCCTGCTCTGCGTGGGGCAGATGGCAGGCTATCTCGGGCACTCTACCGTGGACTCCCCATGGACCTTCCAGCCCCGCCCCAGGTGGCACTGCAGGGGACGCTGCAGCAGGTGCCACACGCTGTCACCCTGGGGCTTCTCTCCTGTGTCCAGTTCACATCAGCCCAATGACAACAATCCTGATTATAACTAATGCTTACAGAGCACTTTCTGCACTTGATAACTACTATCTCATTTAATCCTCACAAGAACCCAACGAAGCTGGTACATTATTATCCTCGCTAGAAGCTGGAGACACGGAGATCAAATAACTTGCTTCAGGTCTCACAGCCAGAATGTGACAAAGCTGAGATTCAAACCCAATGAGCCTCTTTCCACAGCCTGGGCTCTGATCCCTTTTCTTCCTGCTCTAATAATAAAGGAGGGGAAAAGAAAGAAAAGGAAAAAAAGGCAGTTCCGGATATGCCACTGGGAGAAAATGAGGTCAGGGCTCCTGCTTTCTGGGAAACCTTTGCTTGTTGCTCTGCTCCCCTCTACCTTTTTAATGTTTTTAATGTTTATTTATTATTTTTGAGGTGGGAGGGGCAGAGAGAGGGAGACAGGATCTGAGGCAGGCTCCGTGCAACGTCAGGGCAGAACCCCATGCAGGCCTCAAACTCAAGAATCCATAAGACCATGACCTGAGCCGAAATCAAGAGTTGGCCACTTAACCGGCTGAGCCACCTAGGCACCCCAATCACTTTATCCTTGGCTTTACAGAGCTCATCTCTGTAAAATGGCAACAGACAGAGGAACCAAAATACATATGTATGTCTATGGCATGTTCTGGAAAGCTTGTTAATGAGCTTTACGTGTTTCAACCTTCGTCTTTCATGAGCCCAAACTTATACAGAACAGCACGTAAAATGAATACTGTTGAAACCCATTTTTCAAACTCACCTCTTCTTTTTCTTGTAATTTTCCAATTGTCGGGACTGCATATGTTTGTATCTTTCTAATTCACACTGTCCACATAAATCCTCCAGATTCAGCAGGTGGTTTTCTACTTCCTCAAAGCTAGCCTCTAAATGAGCTGAAAGTACATAAGGTCCAAAGGGAAAAAACAAAAACAAAGAAACAAAAATAAACATAAAAAATCAGAATCCTCGATCATGGAGAAAAGAAAAAAATGACCAAAAGTTAAAAGTCAAAATTGGTTTGCATTTATTTAATATTCTTTATTAAGCTTTCTTGAAGCAAAATAAAATACACTGACCAACTTTAAAATATACTCCAAATTATTTTGAGCTCCTTCCTATATTTCAAACATCTTCAAGGTGTAATTTTCCAAAATATTTTACATATGCTATTAACCAGGATGATGAGGAAACAGAGCATTGTGATTAATCTAATGCGATATCCTAACGATCCCATATACCGCATGTGAATCATCAATTTTCAAATGAGAACATAGCAAATTATAATTAACACACGTTATACCAGACATAATTTAAAATTTGAGGCTCTAAGTTACTTGAGCAGAGCACTGTTTTGCCTTGGCAAATGACATACGTCAATCTTCACAAGTCACTGCAGAGAAGGTGCGGTCACTCAGTGAGCCCGGGTCACGGGCGGTGGGGAAGAGACAGCTCTGCCCACCAGTCCACCGGTCTCTGCCGCTTTACCGGCACATGGAGATCATGCAGTCAAATCCTTCATTTAAAAGATTCAAGACCAAAGGCTGCAGAAGTTAATCCACTGCCTGGCGCAAGGTCACCTAGCTACTGAAGGGCAGTCGGGAATCAAAACCGAGTCTTTCTGACACAACAATCATTTTTAATTGATGGGGGGAGTGGGGGGCAAGTGAACCAAGACTTCGCCGCTGTAGAAGGGAGAATCGGCCGGCCTCTCAGACAGCAGGCAAGCCTCAGAGGCCCAAGATTCTAGCACACAAACAGCACTGTGGGCATTTGCCAAACACCATGTGTGCCAGATACGGGGGTACAAAGATGAAAAAGAGAGTCCTCGTGCCCGTCAGCTTGAAGTAGAGGGGACGCGTGTTTCAGAGACAACACAGGCTGTCACAGCGAGGCATGCAGTGCTCGGGGCCCTCCAACGAGCGGCATCTAACGCAGAGGAGGGAGAGTGAGGAAAGGTCCAGCAGGAGCCCATTCGCAGATCTGGAAGTCACGGCCCCCCAGTGGGGAAGGGAAGGCGCAGCAGCCAAGGAGCAAGCTGGCTGTGCCCTTGCAATCACGGTGCATCTAATTCCTTCACGGGGCCGAGAGATTTCCACATGACTTTCCAAATTAGCTTCTTCAGCATCTGGGTTGGGAGCAAACTCCTCAAATTCAACCTGCAGTTCTAGGTTTATTAAGATGCAAATTCTGGCCTGTTTGTGTCATTAATCTCTGATCCAAAGATCTGACTAAATAGCTATGCTATCTATAAAACCTCCTTCCTCTTCTATTTGGTAGGGCCTAGGGCTTAAAGACACGGATTTGGGGGGAAAATAAAATTTTACTGAAAAGTACGAATGTGATGACAGTTCAGCATTCCTCCTCAAAGACATTTTAGGTTCTGACTTATATTGATAAATTGTAAGCCACTGGGAAGTGTGCAAAGGACTGAAGGTAACGCAGTTGGTAACAGTGCTGAATCTACCTTCAGGGGCTACCGGACTGTTAATGCGTATGATTATGGGAAGCCTAACCTTGAACAACAATGCAAATCAAAGTGTCAATCATGAGGAGTTAAATCTAAGATTTTTAATAATGATTTGAGCAGTACATAGTGAGTTTACAAGGGGGGGTGGCATGGGGGAAACAGGCAAAATAATGTTATTATAGTCATTGCTGTTTAGATTATTTCTTGTTATTACACTAAATGGAAAAATCAGAAGGACCCTAGTGTCAGAGCTGGTACTACTGAAGAAGCCGTATTCAGCTCATTCTGTTATATCTGGCTTGACAGGGTCTTAAAAGGGAATCATACCTAATAGGATTATTTAAACAGGCTATTTCACTTTGATTAGTGATAAGAACTAGAATAATTAAATTTAATATGGAATCCATTTAACTCTAAGCTACTTGGTTCCTGCAGTACTGTGCACGCTACTTTGACATCCTTGGCTTACAAGGGACTGGTTAGGAGCAGGACTTTGAAGTACAGCTCGGAAACCCAGCTCTGTTCCTAACAGATGAGCAGAGCTATCTCATCAGTGAAAAAAGGGCTAACAGTTCACATCTTGCAAAGATGTCAGAAGGGTCCAATGGGGCAAGGTATATAAATACTGTATACTTACAAATAACTATAAATACAAAGTATACCTAACTTAGCATTTGACGGTAACTTAAAATTGACTATAAAAACTGCAGAGAAAAAAAGCTGTATAAAAATTAGCTAAGTGTTGTAACTGTCATTTAAAACTAATAATCTTGTAGACCAGTAATGATCATGTTAAAACATCTATGGATCTAACAGACCAAAAAAAGAAAAAAAAAAAAAAATCAATAAAACTTTCATTTTTTTCTAGCAAACTTAAATAACTATAAATTATACTCAAAACCATGGTGTTAGACTTAAGATCCCTTATAAGTGAGGAGGATTAAATTTCAAATGATTTTGCTAAAAAGAAAATAAGTAATGGAATCAATAATCGTTCTATATTTAAAGATCTATATCTATATATATATATATATATACACACACACATATATATATATCTTTTTTTTGTTTTTGACAGCTGGCAATTTCTGTTTAGAGTCTAGCTCTGTTGGGTGGCTATAGAGCTAATGAGGCTGGGAACCTGAATGACATGACTTGACCCCTAGGCAGGCCAATTAATTTCTCATGGAGAGAAATTCCCTTCTAGATACATACGAAACTTGCTACCTGAGTTCATACTTGGGTTAATAAAATGGCGACCAAGTGAAACGTGACTGACTTAGTACCAACCTGGAACTGCTATACTGAGAAACAGACAGACCATATGTCCTTCCTAATTGGCGGACAGCATCCTGTTATGCTTCTGAATCATCTACATCTAAAATACTCGGGAGACTCAGTGGCCATTTTACTGCTACCATCAAATCCATATTTATGTTCTCTCCTTTGGAAAGTTAAAGGCTCCTGAGTACTTTAAGAATCCAGCTTAACTTCTTACCTTAGTATTCAGAAACCTATAACCCCCCGCACCCCACCCCTGCAAGGCCACAGCCTCTTTTCCAATGTCACCACTTCCCTTCAGGAGCACTCATCAATCACTCCAAGACGGTGGAGCATATTCCTGTCTCCCTGACCCCGCCTGCCCCCGAGATACCTCTGCTTGTCTCCACTGCCCAACCCCGTGCTTTTTCAGGCTGGAGGGTGGGGGATGAGGGGGTGCTACCCCTCCTCTGGGCTGCACAGCTCTCTCCCTCTTCTGAGCTTCAACACATCTTTGACTTTTACACAGAACTTATATTCTGACTCATATTATACAGCCATTTGTGTACTATCCTCTCTTCAGTGGTTCAATCAGTGAGGGTCTTAAAGGTAATAATCATGTTTGTACCTTTGTATCCCGTGTATAAGGAGATTCAACTAAGAATGATTCTATCCCACTAAAGCATAAAATACTAACCAAAAAAGCAAATGCCTGACTCATATTCATCTACCTTAAATATCAGAAGGTTATGCTAAATTTTGTGAAAGAGTAAGTTCAACTTGGGCAGAGGACTTAGAAAACATTAGACAACATGACGATACTTTGTTACTGGTATGTCACACAGGCCCAAATCAGTGAGCTAAAGCTGTAGAAGCAATGGAAAATTTCCACGTTAATTCTTAACAGGCCTGAAATCAGTAACCAAACACAGACCCACTGTATGGACAAAAATACATTTTTCTTCCCTATTAAAAACTTCCTGTGATAATTACGTCCTCTGAATATCTCCTACTACACCTCAATGGCTGAAGTCGAACGCCCCTGTCACAAGCTTCTCCTTTCCCATCACGGGATGAACCACACGCAGCACGCAGGTACCTAAAAGCACTAGCAGGCTTCCACGGCCACGAACATACCTTGACGGGAAGCTCAGACTTGGCTGTTTTGCTCGCTGTAACGATAGCCTGTGTCTCATTTGGTGACAAGTGAGAAAGACAGGCGGAGTGTTCCCGTGAAAAGCCGTGCGGGAAGGCCAGACAGCTGTGCAGGAAAGGGCCTCACTAATCGTTTGTGAGGACACGGTCCCAGAGGAAGAGCGAGTCTGTTTAGAATTTTCCTTCATGCCATTTGTCCCAAATACGTCTTATCTGCGGCATAACCACTGATACAAGAAGGACGGGCCGGCACACTCAAATTATTTCACACTTAATGAGTACTTTTCTAATAAACGTATTAGCCTCGAGGAAAAAGGAAATCTGTGGTTCCAAACCCAGAGGTCACAGGGACCAGGTACTAGAAAGACTTGAAAGATTTTTCAAATGCTTCCATTACTCTTTTATGTACGAAGATAGATAATACAGCAGTGATGGTGTGGCAACGAGCCACTTTCAGAAGTGCATTAAATTGCAAGAGCCATCAGGGAACAAATGAGGTCTGTGTGGGGCATGAAAAGGTGTCTGAAAAGAGTTAATGTGCCTCTAGAACGGTCTAATCTCAGAAGGCAACCTGGACAAGGAAACAATCTAAGTTCACACGACACTTGCAGCTGCGGCAGTCTTTATGCCAGACGCCCTCTCAACTTGTACAAAGCAAGCAAAACGAGACCTATCAAGTTAGGTCAGAGCAAAAGAAAGACAGAAGCTCAGTACATGCCTGTCACTCTCTTACAGCACTTCGTTATCGAAGAATTCACAAATTCTTCGGGATGAGGAGAACAGTATTTGCAAAGTAGGTCACCTAAAATAAACCAAGCAACAGTACAAACTCAGTGAGCCCTTAAGATTGTAAACGTCAATAAAGGAATAGGGTTAGGCTTCCCTCTAGTGGGAGTTCAAGAGAATTAAAAAAAGACGTTTCACACATTCTAAGGGTATTACCTCAGAAGGTCGTGCAGGGAATCTGGGTGACAACACTCCATTTGTCTCCTTGCACACAATCTTTCAATGTTCAGAATACTGCCCTGTTCATCTACCACATTTCATGCTGTGACTTTGCATTCTACACAATTTTACAGAACAAGCTAAACTGCATAACATCCATCCTAACTCTTCTGTCAAAGAACAGTGGTCTCGTAAATTTTCACAGGCTAGAGAGACTTCCACTAGAACATCCTTATCTTTTTTTTTTTTAATGTTTATTTATTTATGAGAGAAAGAGAGAGAGAGAGAGAGAGAGGGAGAGCATGCGCGCGAGCGTAAGAGCAGGGTAGGGACAGAGGGGAGGGGGAGAGAAAATCCCAAGCAGGCTCTGTGCTGTCAGCACACAGCCCGACACAGGGCGTGATCCCATGAACCATGAGATCACAGCCTGAGCCGAAATCAAGAGTCGGATGCTTAATTGACTGAGCCCCCCAGGCTCACCCCTAGCAAGTCAGCATCTTGATGGGGGACACCCAGTCTTGTCCAGTGTTGTTTTCCCAGAGCCTACAGAGAGCCCGTGACTCACAGTAGATGCCTCATGGGTACTAAGCACAGAGCTGAGTACTCCAGTTACATCTATGATCTCCTTCACCCCTCTGCCCGTCCTCTGAGGCCGGTACTCTCATTCTCTTCCTGCGGATGAAGAAACAAGTTTGGAGCAGCCAAGAAACCCGCATGGGGTCTCACAGGAAGCTGTGGGATTGGGATCCGAACCCAGGTCCGAAACCAGCCCCCAGCCCTTACTTTTCAGGACCCAGCAGGTCTTTGTCATTTCTTTTGTAAATGACAGACTACCAGTAATTATTTATTACATGGGCTATGTAAGACAAAGGGATCACATTCCATTTGAAAAAAAAATGAAGGAATTATCCATTCTTACTTCACAATTCCCAAGGGATCATGTAATCAGGAGTCATATTTATTAAGCGTAGGGGAAGGTAGCTAAACACATCATCAAAGGTTCAAATCGCTCACATCATGTAAGTCTGTTACTCTCTAATGAGCAGCTCTAGATGCCCTAGAGAGCGAAGCAAGATTACGACAAGGGCTGTGTGGCCTGGACGATGGAGGGACCGAGAAGATGTGATGTCAGATCTGACAGCGACACAGCACAAAGTTCAAAGAAGTTAGGGGAACCCTGTGACTGTACACAGGTCAGTTACGCCTTCTTAGTTCTTAAAACTTTTTTATTATTGCTCAACTATAAAGCTTCCTAATATATCAAAGTGTTCAGGTGATACGAGATATTTTGAGGCTATCAAAAAATAAAAGAAGCCAGTAATATATGAGCAAACATTTAAAACAGCAGTTCCAATATCTAAGAATGATACATACGCTCCTTAAAATGACTTCATAAAATACCTTAATGATATAGATACATGTTTCACAATTTAGCCCATCAAATGGGGCTTTAAGATAGTTTCCTATTGTAAAGAATGTCAGCACCAGGGTGCCTGGGTGGCTCAGTCAGTTAAGCATCCGACTTTGGCTTAGGTCATGATCTAACGGTTCATGGGTTCAAGCCCTGTGTCAGGCTCAGGGCTGACAGCTCAGAGCCTGGAGCCTGGTTCAGATGCTGTGTCTCCCTCTCTCTCTGACTCTCCCCTGCTCACGCTGTCTCTCTCTCAGAAATAAATAAAACATTAAAAAAAAAGAAAAAAAAGAAAAAGAATGTCAGCACCCATTCCAAGAAGTTTAAGTTGCTTATCTAAAAGTCTCAATGTCAAAACACTCTCTGTGGCCAACAACTCTAGACCAACAAACCCTAGGCCTCTGGACTCAGATTTGACCAGCTGTCTGTTCCAGTCGGTCCTTCATTAGTAAGTATAAGTATCAGATGAATGACAGCAATACAGTAAAAACCAAAGACAGCAGATTCAAATGCTAATAGTAATTCAGACTGGCAGTATATGTAAAACCCAACCACCTAGACTTCAGAGGTATCTTCTAAGCAAGCAGAATTCACTCTTCAAAAAGACCTCAATGCAAGCACAGCATATTTTATTGAGCTTCACTTTATTGTGCTTTGCAGATACTGTGTTTTTGACCAACTCAAAGTCTGTGGCAACCTTGCTTTGAGCAAGTTTATTGGTGCCAAGTTTCCAACTGCATTTGCTCACTTCATGTGTCTGCGTCACATTTTGGTACTTCTTGCCGTATTTCAAACTCTTATTATTACTGTGGTGATCTGTGACCAGTAATCCTTGATGTTACCATGGCCATTGTTCTGGGATGCCACGAACCACACCCATAAGACAGCGCACCTAACAGATCAATGTCATGAGTGCTTTGACTCCCCGCCAATTGGCCTCCCTTTTCCCCCAGAAACAACACGTTGAAATGAGGCCAATTAGTAACAGTGCAATGGCCTCCAAGTATTTGAGTGAAAGGAAAGACTCACATCTCTCGCTTTAAATCAAAAGCTAGAAAGGATGAAGCTTAGTGAAGAAGCCATGTCAAAAACTGAGATAGGCTGAAAGCTGGGCCTCCTGCATCAAGCAGTCAGCCAAGTAGCAAACGCAAAGAAAAATTTCTTGAAGGAAATGAAAAGTGCAACTCTAATGAACTCACGAAAGACAACAAAGTCAAACAGTCTTATTGTCCACAGGGAGAACGTTTTAGTAGTCTGGACAGATCAAATCGGCCACAGCACCCTGTAAGCCAAAGCCTAAGTCAGAACAAGGCCCTGACTCTCCAATTCTATGAAGGCTGAAAGAAGTGAGGAAGCGGCCGAAGAAACGTTTGAAGCCAGCAGAGGCTAGCTCATGAGGTTTAAGGAAAGAAGCCATCTATCTCCATGACACAAGAGTACAAGGGGAAGCAGGGGCACCTGGGTGGCTTAGTCGGTTAAGTGTCCGACTTTCGCTTAGGTCATGATCTCGCGGTTCGTGGGTTCAAGCCCCGCGTCAGGCTCTGTGCTGACTGCCAGCTCAGAGCCTGGAGCCTGTTTCAGTCTGTG